CACCCCGTTCTCTCTGGGATCATCTTCATCGTATTGCTTCGGCCACCCCGTTCTCCAGACATGAACCCTATTGAACATCTCTGGGATCATCTTCATCGTATTACTGCAGCCAGCCCGTTCTCTAGGCATGAACCCTATTGAACATCTCTGGGATCATCTTCATCGTATTGCTGCAGCCAGCGTGTTCCCCAGACATGAACCCTTTTGAATATCTCTGGGATCATCTTCGTCGAATTGCTTCGGCCAGCGTGTTCCCCAGACATGAACCCTATTGAACATCTCTGGGATCATCTCCATCGTATTGCTTCGACCAGCCCGTTCTCCAGACGTGAACCCTATTGAACATTTCTGGGATCATCTTCATCGTATTGCTGCGGCCAGCCCGTTCTCCAGACATGAACCCTATTGAACATCTCTGGGATCATCTTCATCGTATTACTGCAGCCAGCCCGTTCTCTAGGCATGAACCCTATTGAACATCTCTGGGATCATCTTCATCGTATTGCTGCGGCCAGCGTGTTCCCCAGACATGAACCCTATTGAACATCTCTGGGATCATCTTCATCGTATTGCTGCGGCCAGCCCGTTCCCCAGACATGAACCCTATTGAACATATCTGGGATCATCTTCATCGTCAGCTTAGACAGCGTGTACCACCTCCAGCGAACTGACAGGACCTGAACAGACTCTCTATGACTTATGGAACAGGATTCATGCTGACGACGTCTATGAGGAGACGTGTGTTGGCGTGTATACATGCCCAGGTCGTCAAACTCGCTACTGATGACGTCTGTCTGACTGCTGTCTCATTTATGCACTGATGCACGGATTGGTGTAATTTTTAATTTTGACCCCTAGAATCTTTCTTAATGATTTGCGGCAAATGCAAGACCAGCATTACAATGGACTTTCAGTCAAATTTTTGTGAAATGATTTCTCTTTGTAAAATAATTCTCACAAATCTCACATACGTGTTTGTTTCTGTTTTGGGGCAAGTGAAGTCGGTGATAACTTTCTTTTGCCTGGTAGTTTAGTACGAATCCAAATAAATGTATTGAGGATTAACATGCGTCGGCTTGTCAGTGTCCGTTGTTACAGATCAGTACTAATTAATGTAATGGCAGTACAAACTAGAGTCAAGGAAATTATTCAATGGCAGTATAAATATAAAAGCTGTGAACATAAAGATGGTGTCTGTACTATAATATGATGAAACAGCTGTTGTGTGATCACTGTATAATTCATAACACCTTTGTCACAACGGTGCCTACAGAATGCAGACACACAAGACAAGTGACACAATGTAATTTGAACATAAGTCAAATATCGAAAAAAATATGCACGGCCAACTTTATTAATAGAATTACAGTATAACATCATATATTACAAAACCAGCAAGTCAGAGGACAGGTACAACTAGGTGGCTGTTGTTGCCATACCTATCAGCTATGACTGATTAACCAATGAAGTACTTTCCAATAGACAAAATAGAATTATCATCGACAATGTTGGACTTAACCCTAACTGTTCGTCAGATATTATTCAAGGATTTTAGGGGCACGTATTCCAGTATGGTATCAGTGTGACGGGAAAACCTTTCCAAGAGTACTCACCAATGTTGTTAGTGTATGGTTACTGACGTCCCCAGTAGACCCAGGAGCCAGACTAATGCTACACAAAGCCACAATTTCCGTCCACATTGATTCCAACAAAATATCCAGAAATACTACCAAACTGCCATCTTGTTCTTGCCTAAGTTCTTTTCAACGAACAAAACACATTCACTATGGAACCCTTTTGTTAAACTCGGTGGGACTAAATAATCCAGCTGTATGTTTTACAGTTTGAAAAACCCTAACGATTTAACGTCGATACTTGTAGCACTATATTTTCGCAGCCGTCTATTTGATTAGAGCATTGCGCGTACTATCCATAGAACCGGTTTAGACGAACGATACGCGTTACTAACACACCTGTCAACAGTTAATCAGCGCCGCCTTCACCTTTTAAGGGTCACATTCACGCCGTTTTTTTCTTTCTGTCTGTCATTTAAGGAACTACAGCCACTTCTGCAGAATACACATGCGGCGATGTCTTCACCTGTTCGACGTTTTACCACGCGGAGGTAAACGGTCTTATGTTACCCGGATGTGACAGCTGCGTACAGTGTACAGTGCACTGTACACACTTCCGCAGATGCTCCTATAATGTGCAATGTACCAATCAATTAAGTATATTTCGTAATTCAGGTCACATGACCCATAGTACAGTTGTATGATAAAGTATATTTAGGTCACATATACAGACTACCCGTGAAGGTTCGGGTTAGAATTGATCTTCAGTAACCCATGCTTGTTGTAAGAGGCGACTAACGGGATCGGGTGGTCAGGCTCGCTGACTGGGTTGACACATGTCATCAGTTCCCATTTGCAGATCGATCCTCATGCTGTTGATCACTGGATAGTCCAGGCTCGATTATTTACCGACCGCCACCATATACCTGGAATATTACTGAGTGCGGCGTAAAACTAAACTCACTCACATTTATAGACTGTTACATCTGTGTCGATCTCATTTTGAATAACTTGAGTAGATATAATAGCAGTTGTGCACAGTGCATCAATATCATTGGAGTTAGATACATTATTTCGAACATAATTCTACCATCATAATATTTCTCAAGTGTGTATATTTCTTACATATAAAATACATGGTATTCATCTTCTAAAAATGAAGGTCACAGTCTGCACATACAGATTCTGTTTGAGGCATATTTAACAATGACTTTTACGGATAATGTTGACTCGAACGTTGTGAAGTGACATTCGAAATTTACACATTGCTCTGATTGTTTGTCTCTGAGTACGTTAATATATAATTCGGGTTAAAAAAGAGACTTTATATCAGTATAATGCACTAAAATATAGACTACACTAAGCCGTTATACCATGTTTTGAAATATAGATATCGTAGACGTCTTCTAAATGCAGACACAAACATGTTCTTATCACCAACATCTTGATATATCCACACAAAACCGCTATTAAATAACATCTGTCTGACATACGATGCCCAATTGACCTTACCATTCTCATCTAAAACTTTAGGCATAACATAACATTGGAAGGGGTATCGATTTGCATTCATTCGCCAAAGGTTTATCCAGTACTTAATTACCCTTATTTGCGTTTTTATAAACTTAAATGACGTGCAGTTTCACCCAGAATAGTTTTGTTTGCTGCGAGATTTAACCACACCAAGAAAAGATTTAAAATAGCATGCTTGTATCTTTTCAATTGTGTCATGCTATTTAGTACCCCATATTTCCGAGCCATACATCAATATTGGGGCGATTTTATTGCCAAATGTGTTACAAGCAGTTGAGGAACTATGCAATGTACCGCTCTCAGTCTAAGAGCATTCCTCCTTTAGTTTAAAGCAAGACCGACCAGTTCCGCACGCTATCATGGAATTGCGTTCAGCCAAAGAGGCACTTGCCAGAGACGTACACGGTGCACATGAGCTAGACTACCAGTTGTCGGACTTCCTTTGTACTGAGAAGGTGTGGTCCCAAATCCCAAATCTTTCGGAGAGAGAGAGTGCTGACATACATGTTTTCATTATCAAAGTGACTGTCTAATAGAGTTAGGTATTGCCAAAATTGTGATATTCTGATATGTGTTGGCGTATTGGATATGTATTGCAATATATTGTGAAAGTGTAACACATGGGTTAAGGCAATGAAATTATAGTTTCCTTTATTTTGAAACAATGCCACTGGCCACTGTCAGGACTCAGATGAGATTGTACAAGAGATCAGTTGAAAATGTTTCCAAATTAAAGACTTCACTCTAAAGTTTGGAACTCGAGAAAAAGCGTCTGCAGCGGCGTCCGCCGTTTTGGTTTGTTTATAAATGAGTGCCGGTACGAATCTATTTGCTTTTTATTCATATGGTTTAAAAGTCACGCAAATGCGCAATTATATGACCAAAAAACATTCTCAAAACTATTATTGTATCATAAATATAAAGGAAATACATCATCACGAAAATTACCGATCATGGTCACGGCAACTGCCGATCGTATCGGGTGAACCGTTTCGCTAAAAATGTACCGTAATATATCGTATTGTGAAGTTCGATTTGCAATATACCGGTTAACCGATATTATCGCCCACCCCTACTGTCTAATATACTGAATATATACCGAGTCCATCAGGTACGTAATTGAGGCATTTTACTGTCACTGATGCACCCCCTTGTTGTCACAACAGTAAAGTATGTTCATTAGCACATCACCACCACACCAAATAGCAAACAGGTCAGAACAATACAGTATATTCGTTGAAACAATCACCAGTGAGTGAGTGAGTATGGTGTTTCGTTGGTTTCAACAATATTCCAGCTATATGGCGGCGGTCTGTAAATAATCCGAGTCTGGACCAGACAATCCAGGGATCAACAGTATGAACATCGATCTACGCAACTGGGATACGATGACATGTGTCAACCAAGTCAGCGAGTCTGACCACCCGATCCCGTTGGTCGCCTCTTACGACAAGCATGGATTACTGAAGACCAAGACTAACCCGTATCTTCACGGGTCACAATCACCACGCTGGAGAGAACAACACGTATATTCACTAACCACTAATGCATCCGACATCATGTTGGTCGAGGCAAAACAATCTTGTTATCAAATAAGCCAGACTTTGGACGTGGGTATCACTTTCACTTGTAGAGAAGTGACATGAAGGTGTTACTATACACAAAGCTCACTTCAACACCCACAAACGTGTATCACCATACACGCTACAGACGGGACCGTATTTCACAACATCAGTCATGATCACCAGTCAGTAGATAGTGACTCAGTATCATTCTCTCACTGTTTTCCCAAACAATGTATCTATGCTCGATAGGGTCCTTACCTACAGACAACGTGGCCCCGATGATGGTTATGTCAACATTCCGACACCTGATAAGTTGCTGTGACGTAGGTTCTCGTGATCAGACAAATGCGCTCACTACTTAAACGCCATTTCTGACTTGATATCGAGTGGAATACGGATCACCTGTAAGTTTAACAATTTCCGCCATACTTTTAAGTAGTGTATTGTCATGAAATGGTTACATGTTAATTTTATTATGTGTTTAGCGTTCGTGAGAAGGTAAGAAAGAGTAAAAACTTTAACAGAGAGAGTATATTGAACGGCTAATGTCCAGGATCTATATTGGTTGTTGTAAGTTGTTACCTCTGTGATTACACGATGTAGTTCTGTGTCTGTGTCTGTGTCTGTGAGTGTGGCTGTTACAGAGGATCGGTCATGAAACAAAATCTCAGTGATTTGCCTTCATTTGCTATGTGTCCGGGTATAACAGGGTACAAAGTAATCTTTAGTTCCTTACTACAAATCTCAACAGCCGACGTGGCAGAGCGAGAGATGTTTGACTGACGACATCACGCAATCCGTGCAGTCCGTGGAACCAATGTACGTGCGTCAGGGTTGCGACACAGCCGACTCCACCGATAGAGTCTCCATCTCCAGCTTGTTAAACACAATCATACTGTGTTTCAGGGTCGGTACAAGGGATATCAAACACAATCATACTGTGTTTCAGGGTCGGTACAAGGGATATCAAACACAATGGAAGGCGGCTGTTCGAAGATCTTCCTTATAATCATAAATGTCATCTTTATGGTGAGTGCTACCCACACCTCACTGTCCATCAGCCTGTATCTGTTATGTCCACACCTCACTGTCCATCAGCCTGTATCTGTTATGTCCACACCTCACTGCCCATCAACCTGTATCTGTTATGTCCACACCCCACTGCCCATCAGCCTGTATCTGTTATGTCCACACCTCACTGTCCATCAGCCTGTTTCTGTTATGTCCACACCCCACTGCCCATCAGCCTGTATCTGTTATGTCCACACCTCACTGTCCATCAGCCTGTATCTGTTATGTCCACACCTCACTGTCCATCAGCCTGTATCTGATATGTCCACACCTCACTGTCCATCAGCCTGTATCTGTTATGTCCACACCTCACTGTCCATCAACCTGTATCTGTTATGTCCACACCTCACTGTCCATCAACCTGTTTCTGTTATGTCCACACCTCACTGTCCATCAGCCTGTATCTGTTATGTCCACACCTCACTGTCCATCAGCCTGTATCTGTTATGTCCACACCCCACTGCCCATCAGCCTGTTTCTGTTATGTCCACACCCCACTGCCCATCAGCCTGTATCTGTTATGTCCACACCTCACTGCCCATCAGCCTGTATCTGTTATGTCCACACCCCACTGCCCATCAGCCTGTATCTGTTATGTCCACACCTCACTGTCCATCAACCTGTATCTGTTATGTCCACACCCCACTGCCCATCAGCCTGTATCTGTTATGTCCACACCCACTGTCCATCAGCCTGTTTCTGTTATGTCCACACCTCACTGTCGATCAGCCTGTATCTGTTATGTCCACACCTCACTGCCCATCAACCTGTATCTGTTATGTCCACACCTCACTGCCCATCAGCCTGTATCTGTTATGTCCACACCTCACTGTCCATCAGCCTGTATCTGTTATGTCCACACCTCACTGTCCATCAGCCTGTATCTGTTATGTCCACATCTCACTGTCCATCAGCCTGTTTCTGTTATGTCCACACCTCACTGCCCATCAGCCTGTATCTGTTATGTCCACACCTCACTGTCCATCAGCCTGTATCTGTTATGTCCACACCTCACTGTCCATCAGCCTGTATCTGTTATGTCCACACCTCACTGCCCATCAGCCTGTATCTGTTATGTCCACACCTCACTGTCCATCAGCCTGTATCTGTTATGTCCACACCTCACTGTCCATCAGCCTGTTTCTGTTATGTCCACACCCCACTGCCCATCAGCCTGTATCTGTTATGTCCACACCTCACTGTCCATCAACCTGTATCTGTTATGTCCACACCTCACCCATCAGCCTGTATCATGTCCACACCCCACTGTATGTTTCTGATATGTCCACACCTCACTGTCCATCAGCCTGTATCTGTTATGTCCACACCCCACTGCCCATCAGCCTGTATCTGTTATGTCCACACCTCACTGCCCATCAGTCCACCTGTATCTGTATATGTCCACACCTCACTGTCCATCAGCCTGTATCTGTTATGTCCACACCTCACTGTCCATCAACCTGTATCTGTTATGTCCACACCTCACTGTCCATCAGCCTGTATCTGTTATGTCCACACCCCACTGCCCATCAGCCTGTTTCTGTTATGTCCACACCCCACTGCCCATCAGCCTGTTTCTGTTATGTCCACACCTCACTGTCCATCAGCCTGTTTCTGTTATGTCCACACCCCACTGTCCATCAGCCTGTATCTGTTATGTCCACACCTCACTGTCCATCAATCTGTATCTGTTATGTCCACACCCCACTGCCCATCAGCCTGTATCTGTTATGTCCACACCTCACTGTCCATCAGCCTGTTTCTGTTATGTCCACACCCCACTGCCCATCAGCCTGTATCTGTTATGTCCACACCTCACTGTCCATCAGCCTGTATCTGTTATGTCCACACCTCACTGCCCATCAGCCTGTATCTGTTATGTCCACACCTCACCTCATACTGTCCATCAACCTGTATCTGTTATGTCCACACCTCACTGCCGTCCATCAGCCTGTATCTGTTATGTCCACACCCTGTCACTGCCCATCAACCTGTATCTGTTATGTCCACATCCCACTGTCCATCAGCCTGTTTCTGTTATGTCCACACGTCACTGCCCATCAACCTGTATCTGTTATGTCCACACCTCACTGTCCATCAACCTGTATCTGTTATGTCCACACCTCACTGTCCATCAACCTGTATCTGTTATGTCCACACCTGACTGTCCATCAACCTGTATCTGTTATGTCCACACCTCACTGTCCATCAGCCTGTATCTGTTATGTCCACATCTCACTGTCCATCAGCCTGTTTCTGTTATGTCCACACCCCACTGCCCATCAGCCTGTATCTGTTATGTCCACACCTCACTGTCCATCAACCTGTATCTGTTATGTCCAAACCTCACTGCCCATCAGCCTGTATCTGTTATGTCCACACCCCACTGTCCATCAGCCTGTTTCTGATATGTCCACACCTCACTGTCGATCAGCCTGTTTCTGTTATGTCCACACCTCACTGCCCATCAACCTGTTTCTGTTATGTCCACACGTCACTGCCCATCAACCTGTATCTGTTATGTCCACACCTCAGTGTCCATCAACCTGTATCTGTTATGTCCACACCTCACTGTCCATCAACCTGTATCTGTTATGTCCACACCTCACTGTCCATCAGCCTGTATCTGTTATGTCCACATCTCACTGTCCATCAGTCTGTTTCTGTTATGTCCACACCCCACTGCCCATCAGCCTGTATCTGTTATGTCCACACCTCACTGTCCATCAGCCTGTATCTGTTATGTCCACACCTCACTGTCCATCAGCCTGTATCTGTTATGTCCACACCTCACTGTCCATCAGCCTGTATCTGTTATGTCCACACCTCACTGTCCATCAGCCTGTATCTGTTATGTCCACATCTCACTGTCCATCAGCCTGTTTCTGTTATGTCCACAATCACTGCCCATCAGCCTGTATCTGTTATGTCCACACCTCACTGTCCATCAACCTGTATCTAGCATATGTCCAAACCTCACTGCCCATCAGCCTGTATCTGTTATATGTCCACACCCCACTGTCCATCAGCCTGCTTCTTGATATGTCCACACCTCACTGTCGATCAGCCTGTTTCTGCTTATGTCCACACCTCACTGCCCATCAACCTGCTTCTGTTATGTCCACACCCCACTTCTGCCCATCAGCCTGTATCTGTTATGTCCACACCCTCAGTGTCCATCAACCTGTATCTGTTATGTCCACACCTCACCGTCCATCAGCCTGTATTCTGTTATGTCCACAATTCCTCACTGTCCATCAGCCTGTATCTGTTATGTCCACACCCCACTGCCCATCAGCCTGTTTCTGTTATGTCCACACCTCACTGCCCATCAGCCTGTATCTGTTATGTCCACACCCTCACCGTCCATCAGCCTGTATCTGTTATGTCCACACCTCACTGCCTGCATCAACTCCTGTATCTGTTATGTCCACACCTCACTGTCCATCAGCCTGTATCTGTAAGCGTCCACACCCCACTGCCCATCAGCCTGTTTCTGTTATGTCCACACCCTTACCGTCCATCAGCCTGTATCTGTTGTGTCCACGCACCCACCGCCTTATCAGCCTGTATCTGTTAGTGTCCACACCCCACTGCCCATCAACCTGTATCTGTTATGTCCACACCTCACTGTCCATCAGCCTGTATCTGTTATGTCCACACCCCACTGCCCATCAGCCTGTTTCTGTTATGTCCACACCTCACTGTCCATCAGCCTGTATCTGTTATGTCCACACCCCACTGCCCGTCAGTCTGTATCTGTTATGTCCACACCTCACTGCCCATCAGCCTGTTTTTTTTATGTCCAAACCTCACTGTCCATCAACCTGTTTCTGTTATGTCCACACCTCACTGTCCATCAGCCTGTATCTGTTATGTTCACACCTCACTGTCCATCAGCCTCTATCTGTTATGTCCACACCCCTCTGCCCATCAGCCTGTTTCTGTTATGTCCACACCCCACTGCCCATCAGCCTGTTTCTGTTATGTGCACACCTCACTGACTATCAGCCTGTTTCTGTTATATCCACACCCCACTGCCCATCAGCCTGTATCTGTTATGTCCACACCTCACTGCCCATCAACCTGTATCTGTTATGTCCACACCTCACTGTCCATCAGCCTGTTTTTTTATGTCCACATCTCACTGTCCATCAGCCTGTTTCTGTTATGTCCACACCCCACTGCCCATCAGCCTGTATCTGTTATGTCCACACCTCACCGTCCATCAGCATGTATCTCAGCATACAGTGTCCACACCTCACTGTCCATCAACCTGTATCTGTTATGTCCACACCTCTTCACTGTCCATCAACCTGTATCTGTTGCAGGTCCACACCTCACTGTTCATCAGCTATGTTTGTTATGCAGGGGTCCACACTTACTGTCCATCAGCTTGTCTGTTGTGTCCACACCCCACTCGCCCATCAGCCTGTATCTGTTATGTCCACACCTCACTGTTCATCAACCTGTATCTGTTATGTCCAAACCTAACTGCCCATCAGCCTGTATCTGTTATGTGTCCACACCCTCACTGTCCATCAACCTGTATCTGATATCTCCACACCTCACTCTGTCTCGATCAGCCTGTTTCTGTTATGTCCACACCTCACTGCCCATCAACCTGTATCTGTTATGTCCACATCCCACTGTCCATCAGCCTGTTTCTGTTATGTCCACAACGTCACCGCTCATCAACCTGTATCTGTTGTGCGTCCACACCTCACTGTCCATCAACCTGTATCTCGTTATGTCCACACCTCACCGTCCATCAACCTGTATCTGTTATGTCCACACCTCACTGTCCATCAACCTGTATCTGTGCATGTGTACACACCCCACCGTCCATCAGCCTGTATCTGTTGTGTCCACATCTGACCGTCCATCAGCCTGTTTCTGTTACTAGCATGTCCACACCCCACCGCCCATCAGCCTGTATCTGTGTTATGTCCACACTC